AAAAAAAAAAAAAAAAAAAAAAAAATATATATATATATATATATATATATATATATATATATATATATATATATATATATATATATATATGAAAAAAAAGAAATAAAGAACAGCAATTATTTTGCCCCGACTGGTTTCATTGCATCTTCAGGGAGTTTGTTTATTTTGGATGCTAATGGTGTCATAAAGACTCAATGTGATGTCTCTGACAATGTGTATTTGATTAATTGTTGCTCTTACCAATGCTTCAGCTATTACCTGTTTAAAAAATGTAGGCTATATAGTGTAATATGTATATATTGTATAGAGTATAATGTTATTATGTTGCAAAAAAGTAAAACTTTTGGAAAAATGGTTTGATCAAGATTATTTTTAAACTTGACTTGTATTTTTAAATTACTAAATTAATATCTGTCAGTTCCATAAGTTTCCACTAATCACATGTTGTACATGCCTGTATATAATACGTTGGAATACGATGATATATCTTAAAGAAATAACTCAGTTACTCTTCATTTTGCCTGAAAAAGCACCTTACAATGGATTTTCCTGCGACAAAAAACAAGTTTCCCACATTTAGCAATGTTTATCAAATCTGTTCGGACATGCAAGGTTTATCAATTGTTTTTTTTTTCATTTTTTGGTTATAATTGCTTAGATTATTTAGAAGGTAGCCATTTATCAAGGTCCACATGGTTGTATGGCAAGCACAGATTTCAGAATAATTGCGATAACCTATTGTTGTTAAAATGGAATTTATTATATATCTATGCGTTGTTTACAATGTATTTATTGTAGAATTTTGAAACTCATATTAAGAGTTTTTATAACTTTAGAAAACACTTATTTTAATACTTCAATGAATAATATATGATGACAAGGAAGTGGCACTGGTGGATGACCTCTGTCCCCTCCCGTGTGATCTCTTGGCTTTGTCTGTTCAACAGGTCATATGTCACTGAAATCTTTGGTCTTAGGTCACTTCAACAGGCTGTTTGAGACCATAGCAATTGTCTGAAGGCTCACTGGTCTGAAGGTGTGTTTTTCTGAAGGTCTTGTAGCCTGACGGTTTGATAGAATATATGAGTAAAGTGTATAATATACTGGTAATAGAATAAAGTTCATCTGAGACGTGAAAAAGGCGAGACAAAAATGAAAATTCAGGAAGCAGGCCTACTTTCTACTTGGGCCATAGATAAATATAATCATTAAGTGGACATTTCTGTCATGGATTAGCCAAAGACACACCTGTGAATATGTAGTGAAAAAAAGACAAAAATTTTATGATTTTCGGTCCAATAGAGCTTTAGACTGTCGCCACACCCCTGTCTGTCCAAGTGGAACATTCCACCTAGTTTTCATGATTAATTCAAAAGAACCAATGCATATCCATCAATATGGATTGGATATCTGATGGACATTGCTATGTGCTTGTGTTGAGTTCTTAAAATCTTCTTTTATTAATGTCTGGTGTTCTTCCCTTCGGGTTACATGCTTTCATCATCATCACTGATGGCCCACACCTGAAAACACAATACAGCCATTAGAAAGTTCACCTACCACAATGTTGTCACTGTGATCATCAGTGATTCAATAGCTCAAATGCCACAATGCCTTCTGTAACAGTATATTTTATATCTTTAAAGTAAGCTCATATCACACAATATCTGGTTCACATATTTGGTAGAAAAGTAAATAGTGAATAGAGAGACAAGATAATGTTTTTTACAGATGAGGCAAGAAGAAGGGTTGAACTGTTTCACCTTACAGAAAAAACTTTTTTTGTAAATGTTTATTAAGGACAATTTTCCACTGTACAATCTTTCTACAGGAAACAATGAAATTCACCATAGGTCATATTGTTATTAGTGAGCTTAACTAACATGTTTTGTATGTATATGTCATAGTGATTTGTAAAATAAACCATATCACAACCTAGTTAATACTTCACAACAGAATATTACCCCAAATCTATGGGAAAAACCACTTACAATGGACAAAGTATTCTAAATGCAAACTAGTACAGAAGGCAACCCTAAATAAGTAGTGTTATACTTTTCTAATAGTGAAATTTTGGAACTCAAAAGGTATTTTTTTTTCTGAAAAAGTGGACCTTTTACAACATGATTTTTGTGTACCTACAGTAGATCAAATTTTACAGTGGACCTTTCCCAGCAAAACGGGTGATTCTTTCAAACCCCCTGAATATGGGCTTGATATATAAACCCACCTCAGAGTCCAGGGTTTCCTGGTGTAGCTGTGTCAGTCCTGTGAGGTCCTCCAGATAACTGGGCTGGTTGAAAGCACTCAGCAGAAAGCCAAATCCTTCTTTTCTATAGTGCTCAATAACCTATAATGTGGCAAAACAGTTGAGAAAATATAATTTAAATGTAATTAATTTTTTTTCATCGCAGTACTCATGACAGATTTTTGAAAAATATTCAACACTTGTTTGTGAAAATTATCATAGTATGTGGAAATGAAATGCTAGATAAGACAGGAATTACATCACCCTCCTCTGAAGTCTCTTGTTTTTCAACATTTTACACAAAACTCAACAGCTTTCTTAACTTTTTATCATACATAAAAATGAAGGTTTCACAAAATAGTACAAAAAATTATATGATCCCTGTTATAACAATAAGCAAATATGGGTCCAATACTAACTATATTTGAGCATGCTGTACACTTCTCAAAGGCCCTGCTAGCTGGCAAAAGGTTGTAGTATCTTGACAGGAAACCACGAATCTGAAGGTCAAAACATGCAAAAACTCAAAAAGTTAAAAGCTGTTTAAGTTTTATTACAGATTTTTGTAACACTTTCTTGCCTTTAAAAATATTATAATAAAAATAAACAGTCACAACTGAATCTCAAAAGAAGTAAAATGCATATAAAAAGAAAAAAATACAGGCAATCTATGTTTACAAGTCTTCATCAAATATTGGGGGTAAATGACAATTTCAATATGAGCTGTTGACTGAAAAAATATTCTAATCACTTATTTCTGACTTCATCTCTTGTCTTGAGCAAGCTCCCCTTTTTTCAACTGGTGATTAATATAATATAATATAATATAATATAATATAATATAATATAATATAATATAATATAATATAATATAATATAATATAATATAATATAATATAATATAATATAATATAATATAATATAATATAATGGCAGTTATACCTGCCAGTACTACATAGTGGCAGGCCTATAGCCAGCAATTTCAAAGAGGGGGCTCTTCTGAAAAAGTGGACTTTTTACCATGAAACTGTTCTGTACCTAGATCAAACTGTATCCAGTGGGGACCTTTTCCTGGAGAAAAGGGCAGTTTGTTTGACCCCCCCCCCACCCCCCCACCCACCCCAGCTACAGGCCTGAGTAGTGTTCATGTATACCTGGTGTGGCACAAGGCCCAGTATAGACATCATGTCCTTAGTGATATGTTCATCTCTAGCACTGGTGTCAGCAGGTGCCCCGCCCTCCTCAGGGTGCTGTAGTATGGACACCAGCAGTTCTACAGCCAGTGCGGCCGTAATCATGGACATCCCCGGCCTGGACACCGTACACTGCTGGTCAAGGGTGCGATCTCTGGTGGACTGGGATATAAAGAAGATAGAAGATAGCTACTATATATACTGATCTATAGAATTCACATCTCTAAAATGATAAAGTCTAAAACTAGGTTTTGATGTTGAAGGTCGAAGAAAATGTTTTTTGTTTCTGATCAGTGCTTGTCTGTTTGCATTTAAAGTACTTTGATATCTACATACTTTACATAGGAAAAAAATTTGAACTATTTTAATAGTGCCTTCATCAGAACATTTTTTAAAAGAACATAATCTAAAATATGATGCACAGGTGTAAGCACCACAAATACAGCATCAGCATGCCAGCTGACTTAGTCACAAAACAAACTGGTCATTCTGAATGACCAACATCAATTTAATTCTCTTTGTACATGGACAAAATTACTAATCACACAAATGACCTACATCTCCAGGTGCGACGACATCATTACAGAAGTAACATCCCAGTTGACTTCCATGTACATTGGAGCTTAATTTTGCCTCTCCTGGCGGCCCTGTGTCCATTGGTTCTCCTGGCGTCTTTACTCCATGTCTGACCACCAGAAAGGTGTCAAAACCCAGGGCTGCATTCAATACAATCTGGTGTGAAAAATAATAAAAATGCAATACTGTATTTAATGACTTCCAATAATATATTAACTGAATTATATTCATTTTTTATTACAACTTATAATAAGGTTAAATGATTCAAACATCTCAAAACTTACTTACTGATAAAATAATACATGCAAGTACGATACAAAATATTCACCCCATATGATACTTGGATGATTATGTACTACCTAGCATATTCCATTTCCCAATACAGCAGCTGCTACAGTATACTACATGTAGCAGTTACACAGTAATGGCTTGATCTTTTCAAAGTTGACATAACCTGAGTGCCCTCACCTTTCCCTTGGCAGCCCCCAGTAATGTAGGCAACCACCTGCTTTCTCTGGTGTCCATCAGTAGAAATATCACATCATGCTGGTCCACCAGCTCCTCCAGTACTGCCACATCCTTCCTGGTCTGCTCAATACTGCTCTCTGTGGAATGTATAATAATATATAGTGTCTGGGGTAGCGCTATAATTTTTTTTCCGCTTAGCCAAATTGCTACTTTTTCATCACTTTTTTTTACCCCGAGTGGTTTAAATTTGACTAAAACAAGTCAAACCAATTTAAGTCAGTTCTAGCATTTGGCTAAATATTGGAAAGCGTTAGCACTACCCCAGGCTGTGCATGCAGTGTGGAAATAAGTCACACATTTCTAACACCTTAATTATTCTAATATTCAGAAGAATTTTTATAATATTCATAGTAACAATTTTCTAACAAAATATTCCTTTTTTCAAATCTACTCAGCTTTGGATAAAAAATTTTGGACTCCTGTTACTTGGGTATTACTAATAAGCCATTTGTTATAAGTTATTAAATTATTATTAGAACTTATCATCTGCACTCCTTTTCTTGATAAAATACAAACTTATAAGATAAAAACATCAAAATACAGAATAAAAACTACTGAGTATTTCATACTACATATGATGCTAGCAGTACATGTACGTATATGAATCAGTGGCAAGAAAAATAAATTAAGCCATATTGTCACCCACCAAAACTGTGTCTGTCCATCTGCACATACATATTTCAGTCAGTATATATTAACATTATACTAGTATGCACATTATCATATAAGTTTTTTCTTACCTGATAGAGGATGCCCAGGCATGGGGATGGTCAGTGAGTGTCCCTGAGCATCCTGAAAAAGATATTAAAATTTTTGGTTATTAAAATATCATATTATAACATATCATATTAAAGCATAGCATACAATGTCATGTAGCACAGCATAGCATATCACAGGATATTGTATCATATTGTATTGTATCGTATAACATCGTATCTTATCTGTTGTACCATATTGCATCTCCTTAGCATTACCATATATCAACAAATCAGGAAAATAATGAAGCTACCCACCACCCCTGGGAATATCCTCCTCAGTGACTCGGCCGCTGCCTCAGCCTTGGCTTTGCCTCCATGTAGGCAATCCTCAAACACAAACAGTGACTGCCTCACTGGGTTGGAATAGGATATTCTTGAATTGTCCACAAACGTGATTTTCCTAACTCCCCATCCCTGGAAAAACGTATTTATATCTATCAATTATTCAGCTAAGTTTGTCATGTATAGATATTGTGATTCACTTGATTAAGAATTTACTGCCTCACCTCCAAGCAAAAATTAATAAATAAACATAATATATATAAAAAAAAAATTCTACATTGACCCCTCAAAAGTGTATATATACATATTAAGAACTAAATAATAGCATACTAATACTACCATGGAAACAGCAGCTATAAACAAACTTATATCATCGAAAATGACATTAGTCATTCTAGGTCTTGGCAGATATCAGCATGTCTTACCAGTAATGATCTAGCCACATTGCACCCTAATGTCCCGGCCCCCAGGAGCAGACACCTTGTCCTCTTTATCTTCTCCAGGTTTAACTCTGGTAGCAGTCTCCACCTCATTAGCTTCAGGTTTAAGTCAACCGAGGACTCTGACAATCTATCATAATTAAAATAATTAAAGGAACATGGTAAACATTAAAAAAAAAAACTGTTTTCACTAAGCCAAACATACAATTAACTCACACTGACAGATAGCTAAAAATCTTCATAAATTACATTTTTGTTGCAAAATTGAATATGATTATTGTACCTTTAATGAAAGACAGAGTGATCTGTTCATCTTTTTAATTCATTTTCCTTTCATTTTTAAGCATGCTTTTATGTTCAATACAGAAAGAAAGAACATTATAAGTGAAAGACAGGGTGCTGATGCTTATAAACATAAAACAGCTATGATATTCCATGGAAGATTATGTTCATAAACTTCGGAATCCATGGATAGACTATCAATTTTAGTTACAAAAACTGTAAAAGCCCTATTTTCTGGAAGTAGACATTTTGCTACTGATTCAGAACCTTTGCAAGTCAATGCATCACTGAATCCAACTGTGGTTATTGTGCTGATTTCTCAATTTATGCATTTCTAATGTTAAAGTTTTTAAAAGTATACTGATCTACATGTATGTACCAGCCAATGTACTAGTACAGATATATTGTGAACTCACTTGACAGGGTCCATGGTAGCACTGAGGTCCACCATTCTTGGAACCAACTTTCCCTTGGCATTCTTCTCCCAACCCACACACTTTGGACACTCTGAAACAAATTCAACAACATTCCCAAACTGTCTGGATGAAATCATTTAAAGATACACTCCACGGGTTTGAAGATCCCAAAAATGCTTATTTTTAACATCCACAGCTTCTCAGGTCTACCCAACTACCAGCCGAATGATCCTGGATTCACCTATAGAATGGATCATGCTACATATTAATTCTGGATTTGATTTACCGTAACATTAATTCAGCATATAAATATATAAGTACCTGTAAGGTTTGATATAGACTGGAGCTGAACATTAAAGACCAGACTATGTCTGATGTCCCTGGAACCCTGGCTTATCCTGTCTCTAAATGACACTATCTCTACCCCTGGCAACTTATCAGCCCTAAAATACAGAAGACACCTCCACTGATCATATTTCTAAAATACAACTGCCAAAGTATACATATTTGTCTTCAAGTTCCAATTTCATCTGTCTTGAACTTTCTTTAGATAAAGCTGATTTTGTCAATTCTAATCCCTTTGCCCTAAGAGTATTGTATTTTAGGTATTTATTTAAACAATATATCTTTTATACATAAAGTCTGTTTTATTCATATTTATTCAGATTTTTAAGCCATTCTAAATGGACTCAAACAAATTCTATATCACTTTTTAGTAGAAACATTAAACAGTTAATTAACATTTTTATTCAATAATATGTTATTTATCTTCAGACATACAAAATGTTCAAACAGTGCATGTGATAATATCGTCATCTTTACCCTAGCGACCTACCAGTGATAAGCTATGAGAGTGAGCAGGTTTCTGACAGGCCAACCAGGGTGCTCTGCCAGGGTACTGGGGTCACACACACAAAATAACACCTGAGGGAATAAAAAAATAATAAGAGACAAATTGTAAAATGAGCTAGGAAGTAAGAAGAAGAAATGCTTCTGGTATGTTCATCCTCAGCAAACCACTGCATATTACATGTATAAAGATAAACCTTAATCTTTAAGTACGTATACCACTGAAAAAAAAGAAAGCAAAATTGCTATATACTAATGATACTAAATAAATAAAAAAATCCTTAAGCATACAGTGAACAGTTAAATATTGACAGATCTAAGATTCAGTGATTTTGTTTTAATAATAAAAAGATCGATTCATGCTTGTTATATGATGCCTTACGAACAAAAATAAATGTTAATGTATCAACACTTAAAGGCTTCTGACACAGTTGTTAATTTTTAGGGTTGCTCTTTGACTATGGACAAAATCAAGAAGCTGGGGTAGCGCTAACACTCGCAAATTTAGCCAAATGCTAAAATTGGCTTAAATTGGCTAAAGAAAAAGGGCTTGATTTGACATGTTTTAGCCAAATTATAACCATTTTGATAACAAATTGACAAAAATGTGGTGATTTGGCTAAGTGAAAAAAATTGCTAGCGCTACCCCAGAGAAGATAACTTTCAAAATGATATTATAATAATGCTTCATCAGTGATTGCGAAAGAGATTGAAAACTTACCAGACATGTGGGCTGGAGCAAATTAAATTTTGTCAGCCCACACCTTTTTTTACCGGCCCACAACAAAATAAGCTGTATATTTTCACTTCATTTTTGATGAATAATATTGTCTGGCATTTTAAATCGTTGCTTTTTAATTTTCAGGCAAGATGTAATAGGATGTTTAAAGGTTTAAGTTTAAACGTCTTTCATTTTGGTTGCTTTCTGGCATTTAAGTTTTATCCTTTTTACATCTGGGTTGCCTATCTTAATTTCTAATCTTTTAACACAAGATCATGTATCCTTTGGGAATTTTATTCCAATTTTTGACTTAAATTAAAAACATAAGTCATAGTGAAGTGGAGCTTCCAACTTTTGTAACGTTTTTTAGATTTTCACTCTTGGAAAAATGCTTGTCTGTTAGCAGGGATTGTCCTGGGTCAAAATTGGTCGGGCCATTTTGGCCCACTTGGTCAAAAAAAGTGTGCCATTTTTAAAAAATGTGTGCCATGANAAAAACAGCATAAATTCCCTAAAAGTGACCCGATCATGCTGATTTTCGAACTTGACCTGCGTATTATGAATATTCATCAGTTCTGCAAGTTTCAAGTCAAAAGGTAAAATGGTTTTCCACTGATCGTGTTAACGGTAAAAGTGCACGGCGACGGCGAAGGCGACGACAGCGACGACAGACGCAGATGATGGCTATATGTACAGACACATCTGTGTCTGTACATACACATAGCATAACTTTTATAAAAATAGCCCGATCATGCTGATTTTCGAACCTGAACTGTGTATTATGAATGTTCATCAGTTTTGTAAGTTTCAAGCCAAAAGGTAAAATGGTTTTCCACTTATCGTGTTATCGGTGTTGCATATATGCTGAAAAAAAGTGAAAAAACAGCATAAATTTCCTAAAAATTGACCCCATCATGCGGATTTTCGAACTTGACCTGTGCATTATAAATATTCATCAGTTCTGTAAGTTTCAAGCCAAAAGGTAAAATAGTTTTCTACTTATTGTGTTATCGGTGCTGCATATATGCTGAAAAAAGTGAAAAAACAGCATAAATTCCCTAGAAGTGACCCGATCATGCTGATTTTCGAACTTGACCTGAGTATTATAAATATTCATCAGTTTTGTAAGTTTCAAACCAAAAGAAAAAACAGTTTTCCACTTATCATGTTATCGGTAATAGTGCACGGCGACGACGGCGACGACAGACGCAGATGATGGCTATATGTACAGACACATCTGTGTCTGTACATAAAAACAGAAAGTAACACTTTACTTTACATAATATTAATGGTGGCAGAGCACAAAGTAGGGTTTTTGTCAATTTTGATGCAACATTACATAATGATTAACTAATAAAATACCACCAATTTTAAAATATCTACTATTAAAAACATAGACATAAAGAAAATTTGATTACAACTGGGCTTCATGCCCAAGTAAGCTATAAGTCCCACACTGAAAATTGCAACATGTGAAAGATAAAAATTTTCACAAAAAAACTGTATTACTTCCAAACAATTAACTATTGAAACATTTTTTCAACTAAAGCTGTATTTCAGTCCTATGTTGCTTTCCTGTAAGTGTGAGAAGAGCAAGTGGTTTTCCTTTCACCACCACTATAGAGGCAGTGCCCAGAATAGGGTTTTGTTCAATTTAATGCAATATTACACAATGCTTAACAGCATAATAACCATAATTATTTTTAATAATAAAATAAAAGTATCATGGATATTCAGAAAATGTCATACTTTGAAAATCCCAAAATGTAAACAAGAGAAAATTGTATTGAAAGAGATTTCCATTTTCAACACCTTTTTTACATAAAACAAAATAATCTACTGTCATTTTTATATGATCAATCAAAAAATATGTTGTCAAAGCAAAAATATCAACAGAACAATTATAAATGTCCAACTTGCTCCATTCTGAGATTCTGAACATAGTGAATGGTTGAATCTGACAAACTGTAAAGATGAGTTTTTTTTTTTTTTCCCCCATTTTTGACACTTATTACACAATACACAATGTCAGGTTTACCATCATTTTTATATAATCAACTAACAACATTGTTAAGATGCGGAAAATGTCAAAAGAACAACTTAACATAACTAATTAGTTAAAAAATGAGACTGTTAACATGCCTGAGAATTAAATTTGAGGAAAAAACACTTATATACAAAAAAAAAAAAAAAA